AAAGATAGTACCAAATTAAATTCTGATTAATGAGGAAATTAAGAGCCGACACAATTCGGGTGTTGCTTACTACCATCAAGTTAAGAAACTTTGTCTTCTCATACTGTTTAAACACGTAAAAATTAAAAAAAAACAAACTATAATTTTGCTTGTAGTTTTGTATGATTATAAAACACTATCTGAGAACTGTGTGCTGAGGAGAATATCTGGACGAAAGAGAGGTGAAATATTAGGATAAATAATTTTTCCACGATGCTATTATTTCACCTCTCTTTCGTCCAGATATTCTCCTCAGCACACAGTTCTCAGATAGTGTTTTATAATCATACAAAACTACAAGCAAAATTATAGTTTTTTTTTTTAATTTTTACGTTTTTAAACAGTAGATGAGAAGATTATATTCAAATATAATTAAAATTATCAAGTCGAAGAGGATGAGATTAGAAAGGAATGTAGCACGCATGGGAGCGAATCGGGATGCATGTAAGTTTTAGATGTGAAAGCTAGACATAAAGAGACAACTGGAACTAAGCGTAGGTGTGGGGATAAAATTAAAACGAATCCTAATGGAATAGGACAGGATGATATGGACTGGGTTCATTCGACTCAGGATAGGCACCAGTGGAGGGCACTTGTGAACACGACGATGAATTTTCAGGTTCCATAAAATTCTGAGAAATTCTTGAGTACCTGAGCGACTGGCGGTTTCTCAAGAAAGACGGATCTATTGTGTTAGTTGCGCCATGGCATCCCCTAAATCCTACTCACAGTGTATCTTACCACAGCTTCATAGACATTCTTTGCCAGCCAAAAAAAGAACGCCTTGTACGGTGGTTATAATTGTCCATCCGTCATGTGACATGTTTAACATCTCTTCAGCTTCACTGTCCATTAAATCGCCCTACTGAACTGACACTGTTACTTTACACAATATCATTTGGGAGGATACTATTAAAATGGATCTTAAAGAAATTGAGTAGGAAGATGTGTACTGGATTTATTAGGTTGAAGTAGGGCCTAGGGGCGGTAATAAAGTCTTTCTTCCCATAAAAGGCTGGGGCTTTCAAAGATTTTGCTCCATGGGTTAATGAGTTAGTTGCCTGCGTGTTCATAACAACATCCAGGATGCAGCATGAGAGCATCATCCACCTGGAATCCCTTACCCATGCCGAAATTAATTTTCAAGTATTCAATTCTGCTTTCTTCATTCCGAACACTTAGTAATTTCAAATACAGAAAAGAGGTATTTGACCTTCCAGTAATATCTCTCGCCGTTCAGTGGCCGTGCGGTCTATGGCATGAACTGTTTTCGCCCGTTAGAACACTGGCATCTTGGGTTCGAATCCCAGTCGAGGCATGGATGTCTATAGTCCATTCGCGGAGACGAGACAGCGTAAACAAAGGAAGCCCCGAGTCGCCACAGCTGACAGCAAGGGGTGGACAAAGCGCGCAGTTACTCAGTGTACTCACTTCATTCGGACGCATGTTAACCTGCATTCAGACTGAAGAGTGAACTTTGGACGCCCCTGCAATGATACACGCATCACGTGATCGCTGCATGATTTCATTCAAAGAGCCAAGGAGATACCGCGTGCATTTGTTTACGAGTACTCTCTCGTCTCCGCGAATGGACTGTATGTGCGTTTATTCTGTGTTTGTGCTGCCCTATGTATGTAGATAGGGGCCTTGCGATGGGCTGATCCCCCGTCTAAGGAGCCCTACTACTGTGTAAAAGATCCAGAAACTGAAAAGCGGCCAAGGTCCAACAAAAGGGCTGTAGACAGACAGACAGATAGATAGATAGATAGATAGATAGATAGATAGATAGATAGATAGATAGATAGATAGATGGAAGGACAGATAGGCAGTATCCCTCAGTGGACCCTACTCTGAGCCAGCTGAATCCAGTCCACACCTTCACACTTTTTCTGTAAAATTTCGGTCTTGATATGAAGTAATCACCTTCTTCTAGCTTTCCCAAGTGGTAACTTCCTTCGAGTTTTTGCATTCAAAATTACGTCTTCGCTTCTCACCTTCTCCAAGACTATCATGACTCAATTTATGAATACATATTACGGACTTTCATCCAGGTGTAATGGTGGTACCTCCATAAATCAGACTCCGTATTCTCGTTAGTGAAAACAGGCTGTATTACATATAGGAGAAACCACCGTGATAACTCGTTCGGTACAGTAGACAGCCTACAAGCAGGGCCACCAAGGAAAGCGGGTTCGACTCCAGGCAAGGGTGAGAGATTATCTTTCCACCATAACGTCCAGGCTGATTATAGGCCTCGCGCAGCCTTCTATCCAATATGTACCGGGGGCACCGGCGATCAAAGCGGACGTGGCGTGAAACTGACCGCTCACCACATGGTTCAGAAAGCGTGGAGCTGTCAATCTGCTCCACTCGCATGTCATGCTAATTACTTAAGTTCTGGGATAAATTTAACTTTTTACCTATACCACATGAGAGAGGGATGGAAATAGGTCGAAGAGACCTTTTTAATTGCTTACAATTAAGAAACTTGGGACGAGGTAGCGTAGTTGGTTGAGGCACTACACTGTAAGCCGGAAGGTCGCGGGTTCAAGTCCCTGTGGGGTCATTGGATTTTTTTTTTCAATTTACCTAAACCTTCCAGCCGCATTATGGCCCTGGGGTCGACTCAGTCTCTAACAGAAATGAGTATCAGGAATATTCTTGGAATGTTCTTGGGGGTAAAGGGCGGCCGGCGAGTAGGGTTGACAACCTTGCCGCCATCTATGAGCGGATTGTCTAGAAAATGTGGGGACCTCAACATCTCACAATCTTATGGGTCGCCGCCATGGCCTGTTACAGGGATACCTTTACTTTTACAATTACGAAGTTGGTACAATTCCGAAAGAATATACGTATACACATCTTAATTAATGATACTCATGGTTGAGGACACTGGACTTCTCAGACACAACAGTCGGAGGTTCATATGGTCAAACATTTAAATAAAATCAGTGAAACCCTTGAAGCGTATACATATATTGAACATGAAGTAACAACTTTTCTACTGTATGACTGACTAATTACGTTGAGCATTGAAATTCATGTTCTTATAAAATGGATAATATGTGTATAATGCGCTTCTTTAATATTGAGATCTGAGGTTCTCAGAGCAATGACCATGAAGAGTACTATCTTCTGGGATATTACGCCGTGTAGTCTGGTAGACATTTACTGATGTTTCGGAAGATATTACTGCCTCGATCATCAAGGCAGTATGTTCCTCTGAAATGAGGCGTCATACCAAAAAGTTATTGCTCTTTTAACTCTATTTTTTATAGTTCATTCTTAATTCGCTTTTTTAAAAAACAATTGTGATTACTGGATATAAACTGAGCATGAGAGCCAGTAGGATTTTTTCCAAGAGTACATTTGGCAGGATACTTGTTAGCAGTCTTATGTTTAAGCCGTGTAAACCTATTTTTACTAATCGACCAACAGTATTCAGGGCAGAATATATTATACAAAGAATTTCGATTTGCCTAATAATATTTTATAAATTGTTATCTCTCTCAGAAATCGCTCCCATCTTTCGATGCTCATATTTACGAGTTCTACCCACAATTCCTTACAAATTATGTATTCAATATATCTGTCCACGTTATGTTTTCAGTATATTCAAGCTACTATGATTGTTTCCAATTTTTCTAAGCAAATTCCAGAAAATATACATATTCTAGCTTGTCTGTATTATATTAAACTTTGATAGGCTGAATTCTACCAGTAGTTGCATTAAAAATCTTACTCTTACACCGCCATGATAGTAGGTTTTAAATCTGCATTTCATACAGCATTCAAGGAACAGGTGTTTATTAAACACTCCTTCCTTTCACAAAAATAATACTGTTTTGACTAGATCACGTTACCATTTAGTGGAACGACTCGTCATCTTCCTTGTACGAACAAATCACATTTCACTGCACGTTCAAATTACATTACGGCACTTATCAAAATACACAATTCACCTTCCACCCGTCGCCACAAAGACGTATGATGACAGAAGAATGTCAAAACCAATGAGAAATATTCACATGAGATCTTCTGAAAGAGGTCTGGGCCTACTTTCAGCAATTGACCAACAGGTTCGCACTGAATTGGTTCCATCACTTAACCTACAAAATCACGAACACAGGTGTTTTTAGGCTGCAAATTATCTAAAAATAAATATTAAATCGCGGGACTCGATTATGTGAAAGATTACTGAAACTCGCCGTTAAATTACAGTTCACAAGATTTTCCGTGCATTCAATTATATTTCTGAACAAATTATTCTCATACAAAAACTGAATATGCCTACTTGTGCGCACACTATAATTAAACTTTTCCCGCCAATTCAAATGTCAGTAAACGTGCTCATAGATGGCACACATATGCCACCATGTATAATAACTGACAAACGTACAGCGTGATGCAGACGTAGGAGGAGGTGTATGTGGAATTATATTATATAAGTGTATGTAGGCATTAATTTCAATTTGTATTCACATAAAATAAATAATGTTGCAGTTCTAGGACTATATGCCTACGGCTGGACAGTGTTATGAATAAGCGCAACGAAAACTAACCTAATTTTAAATCATCAGTCTTCCTGATTCTCTTCTCTAATGACACATTCAGAAAACAGAGTGGGATTCATATGATTTGTTATCGATATTCTATTCAGTTTTGATGAAATACTGATCTTCTGGGGTGTGTAGTGTATTAGCGTCAAATTGTACCATGGCTGATGAATTTTGGAAGGAAGTGATCATGGTCTAATGAAGACACTAACCTGACATTTGTCTGGCTGGACAGAGGAAAACCACAAGACGACCTGCCAGTATAGCTGGTATCGCAACCATGCTTGCACCTTAGCCCCTTCTGAATACACGTTAAGAATTTACTGTTGTATCAACCTGCATGGTGAAATGCTGTGTTTTAGCTATTATCAACATGGGCCACTTTTATTTTTTCAGGTTTAAAGCATGGAGCTTGGAATTTCAGAAAAAGTTCTGCACTATGAGAGTTTTGTGAATGATGTACTGAAGGAGGATCTGAAGAAGGTACACACACGATATGAAGAACTGAATAGTGAAATTGCTGAATATATACAGCTAAAAAATTTTATCCAAAGCATTTCAGATGTTGGTGTATCAGGTGGAGTTAAAACAAAGATGGATCTAGGTTGCAGCTTTTATGTGCAGGCAAATATTTCCGACACTTCAACCATTTTAGTTGCTGTTGGTTTAGGTCACTATATTGAATTCACCATGGAAGAAGCACTTACGTTTGTTGAAAAGAGGGTGAATTTGTTAACTCTACAAACTGAAAAACTTAAAAAGGACAGTGCTAAAACCAAAGCAATGATAAAACTTGTACTTGGTGGGCTGCAGCAACTACAGTCTACAAAATCAAACAAATCAAGATAGTTACATTATATAGAAGTAATGGATGAACCTGAATCTTATAATAGTGTGCAAATATTGTAAATGTACACATGATACCAGTCAAGCAGCACAGAATTGAACCTTGATGTTATGCATTCAGATCTGTTGCCTGTGTCTGCTCAGTTGTGTGTGTGCCATGAAAATAAGCAAGTTAAAGAATGTACAAACAGAGGTTATAGTCTGTAAAATTTATGTATTTTTTGAATGGAAGGAGTATCTCCTTCAATAAACATATGCACAAAAAATATATGAAATATTTTATGCTTACCTATTTAAGTCCAGTGGTTTGAGACTGCAGTCTGATGGGTTGTGACACCTCACAGCATTGTAAGTGGACATTTCAGAAGAACATGCTGTCTTCAATACAGTAGGAATCAAGTGTGGTGACACTGTGATCTCCCATGTTCCTGAGTAGTCAGCTTCCTTGGAATATTATTATAATACCTGAGTGTATCATTATGCTTCTCAGACTTTCAAGATGAGGCAGAATGTTATTCTGAAACACTCGAATCCATCTCTAATAGTGTATGGTCTCAGAACCCAGAAGTAAAGTTATGTCTAAAAAAAGAAAACTACACAATGCAAAGTATGTTTTATATATGTTTATAAAAAGATATTTATGCAGAGTTTGATAGTCAATCTCAACATTGATTTTACGTTTCAGTTTCAGTTATTACCCTTTCCAGAATTCTACCCTAAATTGATTCAACCCATCATAGAGGAAACTTAGGTTTCTGGGTCATGAGACCATGTTGCTGTCTGACAAGTGGGTGCCATGACCCAGAAGACCATAATATTAATCTTCACCACTGTGATTGTTATTTTTTGACATAACCATAATCAGGCAGAAGAGTGAGAACAAATTAGGACATGGGATATGCTCTGGCCCAGTAAGTAATGACAGCAGGGAAGCAAGGGGTGAAGGTGCCTCATTTATTGGCAACTGTTTGGCTTTCGTGATACCTGAGGTAGAGGTTTGAGGTTCAGGTGGCTTAATGCTTTCATTTTTTGTAAAGAAGTAAGCATCAATGTTTGAGAGGCTTCCATTTTCTTTTATTTTAAAATTTCAAACCATGTGGTTCTGAAAAAGGTCAGTGTAAATTAAGAAATGGTGTTAATATGACAACTACATGATTCCAAGAACACATAAATAAAATCTGTTTAAATGGAGAAGTGACTGTACTATGTACAGTCTGTTGCCAGAAATGCTGCAATGGTTCATCACCCTGAATTGAGGTTTCCCATATTCCCAATAATGATACCAAAAACATTGTCATAAGCCGTGTGGGATGTCATTATATGAACAGAACTGTAGAAATCTGGAACTGTTAACTGTAAACTTCAAAGTCATATTGTGACTGACGTCTTGGTGTCGAGCCCCGTCTGGGGCTTATGACCAGATATTTATTACTGTTGAACATTACGGTTTTGTTCTTTGTGGGACGCCCTCTCTGGCGAGAGGACGGGTTTCTCTTTTTTACATGCTACAGGGTCTTGCCAGCGTAGTCTTTCTTGGGTCTGAGTCCCTTGTAGGCTTTGCCTAGCAACAGCTGTTTACTCGCTATGCCTAGCAACTGCTGTTTACTCGCTTTGCCTAGCAACACCTGTTTACTCGCCATTGCTAAGCATGGTACTTTTGTTGTCACATTTTCTTGAATGTGGGCAATTCCCACATCAGTAAGTATTTTACATCGGTGGTGAAGTACAATTTATATGTCTACAAAACTGTACAAATATCTATGTCAAATGACTTTGGGAAGCAAATTTCAATGATATATATTAAATGTAACACTGATAGTTGGATGCTCTTTTGTATATGGAACATGTTCAACTAATACTGCCACTTTAATGGGAAACCTAAATGAAATATTGGGTATATTTTCTTAAATATTCAGTTTTAGATGAAAGCTGTGCTTGCAGATGCACATCCAATTTCAAGGAATGAGGCAATGTATTTAGTTCAAACATATTCGTCCATTTGCCAGTGGCTGAACAGCATGTGTTGCAGCTAGAAACAGTGAAAACTGTAGTTCTGTCCTTCCAGTTAGCAAATCTTGTCTGCATAAGTTAAATAGAACTAGGAAAGTTCATAGAAATGGTGCTGTTTTTTTATAGAATGTTAAAAAGTGTGTGTAGGACACACTTTTAAATTCTTATTATCCTAACATTACAGTCTTCTTCGATGTAACATTGCATAGTTTGATACAGTGGCGTGCTAAACTACACAGCACCACATCTGAGTCCATAATCTTCATGTCCACTGTCATGATAACCTCCAATCTTCTTCTGGCCCTGTCTGATTATTATTTAAATATTTTCTATATTAAAAATACACTAATTCTTTTGACATATATGTCAGTAATGCTGTATTTGACAACACTGATTATGAATGAAATAATAACATAATAGTGAGTGGCAAAGAAAACAGAAGTCCATGAAAACTGTACCCACAGTTGCCCTATGTAGTATACAAGTACTGATCTCAGTAGGCTAACTCAGTGTAAATCATATAATTATCTCCATCTTTAATTATTCATTGAAGGTTTTTCAGAATGCCCTACTCATCTGGCTGTAGTTCAACATTTACAGAACAACTAATATCTCATTTTACTTGTTGATGTCAATTCAAAACTGATTTTAATAAATCTTGTTGCATTCTGTCTAGATGTTCTATTCATTTCTACATCAATTTATTTTTGTGACCAATTACAAATACACATAAATCTCTTAATATCAACATTCTTCATCCTACCTTTACCAACATTTCTTAAAATATCCATTTCAACTGATTTATATTTTCCTTTTGTCTCTCTCTGTTACAACTGAGCTTCACCCTCTTCAAAATCTGTTTAGCAACAGCTGGTTGTTTCAATTAAACTTTCAACTACTTGCCATTCTCTGCCAATTTGAAAGTAATTAGGAAATAGGAAGTATGTCATAATTGATAATTGGTTGAGTTTAGGTTGATGGATAAGCAAAGATATAAGAGCGAGAGAGTGGATGTGATGTGATCACTTGTTGGAGCATGGGTGAGGACTGGTTTTGCAGTGTCCCCAATGAGGCACTACATGGGGAGTTCCTCCATGATGTGATGGAGCTTGTTCTCAAAGAAGCAGTATTTGCTGGAACACAAAGGAAAAACCCTGTAGTTAGATGGCATGACCCTGACCACCTGTGTGACCTGCTGAATCTGACACCCGCTGAGAAGCCTGCAACACATGCTGAGCTGCTTCGAGTAATTCATGATACCATTACCTTCAGTGTTAAGACTGGACACCCTTACTTCATCAACCAGCTCTTCTCGAGGTCAGTATAGTGCACTGCCTGGATTTCATTCAGAATGAATGAAAAATTTGTACAGTTCTGTCATTCCCAAGTGCTTGATCCTGATCATGTAGGATGCCTTGCCTTGCCTCATGTCTTGCATGAAACCTAAGTCACCTAAAAGAGAAAAGTAGAAATGTACTGAAATTGTATGATTCCAGGACCACATGACAATATCAGTACAACCCAGCAAACATTCAGTGGTTGATTTTTAAGTGCTGTCCACCTGGCAACATTTAATTTATATACATATTCTTTACCTTTATGGATCCAATTCTTATTGTGCACTTCTGCTTCCTCGATTGGATTAATGTAGGGTATGTAGGGTATTAATGTATTGGTATATTGAAAAAAATATATTTGTTATTATGCAGCCCACATATAGGCACCCAAGTTATGATGTGACCCTTCTGTGCTTTGAAGTTTGACAGCCTAACTGGAAAATTATTAATATAATGATTTTTAGGTATTGCAAGCAAAAATGTTTATCATGCCAAATTTGAGTCTGAAACATGCAGGGAAAGTATTAGTTTTATTAACAAAGTTTTGATATGCATCTGTGAAATGTACTGTGTCTGTTCAGTGGTATAAATGAAGACAAATGGGTTGAATAAGCACTTTGTCTGCCAGGATATGGATACCAAATTATGTAAAAGAGAAACATTGTACTGATGGTTCTTACAGTAAGAGTTGTATATCTGTCTGAGTAAGAAACATTGAAGAAAAGGAGTAAAGAAAGTTTGTGACAGTTTCTGTTAAAGACTCACTAGAATATGCAATCTCTTGAAGCTTAGGATTTAGCAGAAGACATGTATCAAGGATTTAGCATGGTAGGAAAGGCTAAATTACTGGGGAGGGAATCACTTTATCATGATTCAAAAATTGATTATATAATGCTGTTTTCTTTTTTTTTAATTTTGGTTCCTTCATCATAAACTTCCATCAGTGACATTTTTAATAGCATTGAGGTACTAATCTCCCTTAAACACTTCATGATTTAGCACCAATTTGACAGCAAAATGTGTATTTTGGGGGCATGTGGTAGCATAATTGGTTGAGGCACTATGCTACAGGCCGGAAGGTCACGGGTTAGATTCCCGATGAGGTCACTGGATTTTTCAATTTACCTAATCCTTCCAGCCACACTATGGCCTTGGGGTCGACTCAGTCTCTAACAGAAATGAGTACCAGGAATTTTCCTTGGAGGGGTAGAGGACAGCTGACATGTAAGGCTGACAACCTTACAGCTATCTATAAGCCGATTGTCTAGAGGATGTGGAAGCCTTGACCTCTCACACCCCCATGGGCCTTCACGGCCTGTTACAAGGACAGCTTTACCTTTTTATGTGTATTACGGAAGAAAGAGCATACACCTTAACCATCTGAAGCAGAGTGGTTACTATTTTACTTTTAACACCTAAAAACTCTTTGGGTTGATCATGGAGTGCAGTTAAGTGTTTCATATGACTCTCAGAAAAGAAAGAAAGGAAAAAAAAAAAAAAAAATCTTCATTGCAGTCTAATCAGCCAAGTGCTGAATCAGAGATGAAGCCCCAATTTAGTGACCAGGAATGTGATAGTGCGTTGCCTGGTCAGAGGTATCACACACCTCAGGAGGTGGTGACGGACAGGCATTGAATGATGATTAGCAGGTGAAAACCAAAGAATCCTGGGCAGACACCTACTCCAATACCACTTGGGTACCACAAATCTCACATGAAGTCACCTGGTACTGAATATGAGACCCCCTGATGGGAAGCTAGAGTCTAACAGCCTGAGCCGCAACAGTATAAACAGTGATTACTTCTCCATACATAATTAACTGGTTGATCTTTGTAGTGGAAAAATAATGGAGATATAAACTGAATATTTAAATATTATTTGGAGGATTTTCTGGTCTCAGAGGCATTAATTATTTGTCTTCATGTCTATGAATGTACTGACTTTCAAGTGTGGATCCTTATGGACTTGCTGGACAATGGGTGACAGATGCACTGAATCCCAGTGTGTACACATATGAGGTAGCACCTGTATTCACACTGATGGAAGCTGCAGTTTTAGAGGAAATGTGCCACATGGTTGGGTTTCCTTTTGGTGATGGCTTGTTCTGCCCAGGAGGCTCTTTTGCCAATGGTACTGCCATCAATCTTGCCAGATTCAAATACTTTCCAGACATTAAGGTCAGTTCACTTTAAAATCTTAAGTGTAATATTATTAATTATTTTCATTGCTGATTTGAATGCATGTTTTATTTTTCTCATGTAATAACTTTAAACACACTGAAAATAACTGTCTTCTTGGATGTGACACCACGTAGATCATTACAAATGTTTAGCAGGAATGCACAGTCTGCATCCACAAGGTAAAAATGTAAGCTGAACATGGAAAAATGTGGTCCTGATATATAGAAGGAGGACCAGGTACTGAAAACCTCAAAACTCAGAACGGTCCTAATGGTCAGTAATGCTTTACCAGTACAACACAGTGCCACATCTAAGAAGACAGTATCTTAGGGTCACAGCTGTGAGGACTTTGAATCTCACATTCAGACATATTTATTTTAATAACTACTGAACAGAGTAAACTGGGTCAGTGGTCTGTGCCACAGTTCAGGTGGTCAGTCAATAGCTTCTCACTGTGGAGACAATGATTCAGTCCCAAAACAGTCCATGCAGGATTTGTGGTGGACAAAATTGTGCTGGGACAGTTTTTCTTAGAGTTCTTCAGCTTTCCTGCAGCAATTACCTTTCCACCAATGCTTCAGTCTCTCATCTATCTTATGAAACTTGTATGATTGGCCTATTTGAGGCCTAAGTACCAACAGACTCACCCCACTACAAGAATAATAAAGAGATTTAGTTCCATGGTAAAATATCTTAATTAACTGGTCACCTTCCTTCAGCTTTCTTCAGTCCTTCTATACAAGTTTCCAAATTAATTTTATCAGTTAATGTGTTAAAATTAATAAATTATTACCAAACAGGCTGGTCTAAACAAAGTGCTCTAGACTTGTACTCAGTATTTTGTCAGTTTGAATCTCACTCATGACACCAGCTATCCTGACTGAGAATTTTTGTTGTTTCCTCACTTCTTCCAGGCAAATTATGTCACAAGCACTTCCTTCAAAAACTTCAATTCATGTCATCTCTTCATCTGACACTATATAGTCTCAATACTTAAAGTATCTTTTAATAATCTATGGAAGGAAAAGTAATATTATTATCTGAATAAAATCTTGTTTTTCTAAATTTATAAAAAGTAATGGTTCAAGATATGAACACTGATTGTTCTAAATTTGTTTGTGGCAGAACAATGTTTGAAATTGCTAATTCAAAAAGCATATTATTTTCTTGGATGTGATGCCATAGAGTCTGGTATAAATTTACTAACTTTTGTAGAAATATATTCCCTCTCTTCAAGGCAGAGGTTTATACCAAACAGGCAGAGTAATATATTTTAAGCCTGAAGTTTGGGGCAGTTCATTTCTTTGTAACACTTGTAAACTTCCACCAGACTACACACTATCACATCCCACAAGCAGGATTCTTCATAGTCACCATCATGAGAATTTCAAATCTCACACTCTTAATTCTAAATTCATGTTAGAACATAAATTCTTTCCAGTAGAATTACACATTGTATTTGTATGATTGGGAATCTTGACAGCTCTATCAGTACAGTGACAGGCTGCATACTAAATGACTGAGAAGTCATGGTTTTATTCCCTGCAGAGGCAAGAGATGTTTCTCTTCTCCACTGTGTTTAGATCAGCTTTGAGGTGCACACAGCCAATTGAGTTGGGGTACTGAGGATTCTTTTCCCAGGGGTAAAGTGGCCATAGGGTAAAGCTTACCATTCATCTATCTCTAGTGCCAAGGTTAGGAATGCATGAAGCTGTACATTCACTTTCCCATACGTCATCATGACATCGTGCTTAATGAATTAAGAATTGTAACAAATTTGTCTTTATTTGTATCACTGTTTTTGGCTAATGACTACTTCAATTGTCAAAAATATTTTTATCTCTGGTCACATATGTCTAGGCTGGGAAGTCATTGCTATATTAAACTTTGTTTGCAATGCTGCAAATGCACGGCTCTGGCTGCTCCAGCACAGAGAGGTCATGTGAGTGAGGTTAGTTATTTATTTAATAATACTGTCAGTGTTAAGACTATATAGTATCCAAAGACAGGATGACTAGAAAGATTTTGGAAGGAAGCAGTCATTGCCTAATTAAGGTACTATCCCAGTATTTGCTTGGAGAGACTGAGTAAAACATTTAGAAACCTCAGTCGTGATAGTTGGTGTCCTGGCCAAAATTTGAATTAAGCACCTCATGTATTCAAGTCCAGACTATTACTGGTAGACCAGTCTGTTTGGTTTAGACAATCTGCTCACAGATGGCTGTAAGGTTGCCAGCCTTACACGCCAGCCACCTTTTACCTTCCAGGAAGATTCCTGGTACTCATTTCTGTTAGAGGCCGAGTTGACCCCAAGGTCATAGTGCGGCTGGAAGGATTAGGTCAATTGAAAAAATCCACCTCCTTAGGACTCGAACCCGCAACCTTCCAGCTTGTAGCATAGTGCCTCAACCTACTACGCTAGTGCGTGCCCCCATAAATATATAACTTGGCAATATTCATAAATGAAAACTTCTGTCTGCAAATGAAATAAAAAACTCGGTGCATTAAATATTGACACAAAAGAAATAACTAGAAAGAAGACAGACACATTGATTGCAGGAAAGTAATTCATATTAATGATGTATTTTAGACATTCAGTAACATGTTGTGAACAAGCAAGAACTGTGTTATTTTCAAATGGATGTTGATTTCCACTAATAATGTCAGAATTTCTGTATGTTGGCCCAACATTTTCTTCTCTGTGTTTCACTGGGAAGGCAGAGAGATGGCCTGGGGTGTGCACCAAAACTGGTGCTCTTTGCATCAGAAGATTGTCATTACTCAGTCCAAAAGATGGCAGCATTGCTTGGTCTGGGTGAACAGAATGTATGCTTGGTACAGACGGACAAAGCTGGACGCATGGATCCATTACATCTTGAATCACAGGTGCAGAGGATAACAGCTATTGGTGGTGCCCCTTTCATGGTGGTGGCCACAGCAGGTATGAAGTTTTAAATTCAAAATTTAATTTTTAAAACTCTCAGTTCTTTTACCTTATTTGTCCTATTTTACACAACATGTTTTGGCCTACATGACCATCATCAGATGTGCTAAAAACTGTGTATTTCTTCATATAAGAGCCAGAGTAATAGGGGGATTTGTCCCAGCAGCACATAACCTCTTCAGCCCCAGTGAAGAAGAAACTGCACACAGTGTGTCAATCCACCAGGACTCTGTCTTCATTGCATAATAAGAGTTCTTCCTTCCCTGTTGCCCCATAGTCCAAGAACTGAAGAAGAAGAATGCCTTGGTAAAGGTACAGTTGTCCCTGAGTCAGCTTCACCCACCACCTGGCAGATTTATTCCCAGGGAAAGAGCCTCTGGTATCCCATTCTAGATGCTGTGGAGAACAGAGAAATTTCTTTTCCCTGCTGAGAATCAAACCCAGGCCATCCAGCTTATGTCCTGTTTGCTATACTGACAGCTATCCTGGCTCCAAATAATGTCCTGTATATCCCCAAATTCCAACAACAATTTTACCACTGACTAATGGGAATACCTTGTCCATCCATTATTCAACCAAGATAATGCATCTAGTGATATGCATTTCAGTGGATCACTGAAGAAGCACTTTGAAGGACAAACACTTCTCATGTGACGAGATGAGTGCTAAGGTTCAGCAGTGTCTGCAAACACTCAGACATTTTTTTCTAAATTAGCAGGAATTACATGTGTATGCTTCACGTCCCAAGTAACTATGATTGTAACACCACAATCAGAACCTCAAATCTCAAGATACAGTAATTTCTTACAGTAATTGTAGGAATTTAATTTCAGTTTCTTGAGAAACAGCAAAATGATTGCACTAGATACAGGAATCAAAATTGTGTTCCAGAGAAACCATACGAAAGTTAGGTCCTGCTTCCTGGTAAACATTTGTAGAATGATTTCAAACTTCCCATTTTTCCAGTCTGTGGCCTCCAGCTTCAAAATCTCTATCATCTTTGGATTGAAGCATGTTACACTGAAATATAAAACTACTGTTGCGTAAAATTTATTGTAATTTCTAGTGACACTTGCAGATGTGTGTTACATTTTATGCACAGGAACAACAGTGCTTGGAGCATTTGACCCACTGCCTGCTATAGCTGATGTCTGCACAAAATACAAACTGTGGTTTCATGTGGACGCTGCATGGGGTGGAGGAATCCTCTTCTCACCCATGCATCGTCACAAGCTTACTGGACTTGACAGGTGACTGGAATAACATTTGTCACTGTACAACAAAGTAGAGGTAAACTTAGGATTTATGCTTTACCTAATTGGCTTAAATAATAACACATTCAAAAAAAGATTGCAACATTATAAGGAATATACAAAAGAGTTAAATATATTATGACTTAATGAAACAACACTGCAAATTACTAGCGATGGTAATGTAATAGCATTAAACAAACCATGCCATAGTTCAGGCGATTAGTTGCTCACATCTCTCAGATGTCTTCATGTAAAATTCATGGTGAACAAGGGGGACTGCAACAGGTTTTACTCTAAACTTCTTTAGCTTTTCCCTGCTATCACTACTCCACCATAACCCCATATTTATCTATCATCATACCCCTGGGTTGTGCATTGGCTCTCAACAAGGACCAGATTAACATATTCTCAGCCCTTTGAATGAGAGGCTTCATTTCTGACCCAGTGCTTGGCCACTTAGAGAGCAAGGAAGTTAACAACGAAACAGCTGTCTGCTTATATATAAACTTTATATTCCAGAGCTGATTCTGTGGTGTGGAACCCTCACAAACTGTTGGCAGCACCTCAGCAATGCTCAGTGTTGTTGGTGCGACATCCAGAGATCATCAAAGCCTGTCATGCTTGCAATGCTACCTATCTCTTTCAGAAGGATAAGTTTTATGATGTTTCATTCGACTCTGGAGACAAGTACCTGCAGTGTGGACGCAAGGCAGATGTTTTCAAATTCTGGCTTATGTGGAAGGCTAAGGTAACAGTGTAAGATCTGAGATTCTAAGAGCAGTGAGTATTAAACTGGGGTCTACTGAGATGTGACAGTTACCAGCACTTTAATCTGGAGATGGAGGAAATAGGTAGTTCTGAAATGTTGGTAACTGTCTACCAAACTACGTGTAGTCACATCCTGGGAAACTACAATCTTTAAACGAAGGTNACACGGTGCCAAATCCCAAAAGACTGCTTTCTTCATAGTCACCGCCGTGAAAGCCTCAAATCTTACGAAGGTAATATTGTTTGTGTTTATGCAGAAATCATTAAAATTAATATGCTGTTTCCTGTGAGTTAATGGTTATGATTGAGAGTAATAATGTGATAAAGGAGTACCACTGAACATGAGTGGAGTGGCAATGGACATGGAAGATTTGGGGGCTAAACCCAAACAACAGCAATGGGAGTGGTCTTATATAGAGAGAGAGAAAAGTTGAACAGTCCAGTGGGTGTTATAAATTTGTGATGTGTTAAGGGAGACTCAGTCTTAATAAACTCACTGGGGTTGCCACTACAAGAAGTGATTTTATGTACACCTATGCTCTATTAAAATTCGCGTAGTGGGGGGTGGAGTCCAGTTGGGTCTACTCAGCACGGTGGCCACCGATTGCCCTATTATGATGATGGACAGTTTGGTGGAATGAAGATTGGCAGGGGAAACCGAAGTACTTTGAGAAAACCCACCCCAGGGCCACTTTGCCCACCACAAATCCCACTTGACCAGACCTGGATTTTAACCCGGGCTGCCACAGTGGGAAGCCAGCAACTAACCACTTGAGCTATGGTGCGGCCTTTGTGCTCTATTAATGCGCTTTGTTATTACAATTTCTATTGTGTAGTGAGATTTATAGTTATTTGTGCCATAGTTACATACCTACAATAGCTTGAAAATTGAGGATAGTTCTCAAAAGTTGAAACACACAGTAGGAATCTGGAATGATGGACGTCAAGGAGCTGTTCAGTATCTTAAGTCAGTATGACAGTTAATTACTGGAAGCTGGGCATAAATATTCCAAGCACTTTACAGAACAAAGGTTCATTTCTGTGCACACAACAGCCTTCCACTGATCCCTATTTTGAAGTAGAAGGATCCAGCCTATTTCCTCTCATCCTAGTTCCTTAATATCCATCTTAATATTATTATCCCACATCTATACAATAGAAACTCACTGCTCAATCTGTGTGGGAGGGTTGGCAGAAATTGGCAGCCAGGTGATATCTATAATAGGAACAGTGGAATCCTATAAGTGGCAGATTGATAATTGATGTATCTGTAAACCGAGGGACCATTGTATTTGAGACCTTTTGCATCTTCAGTTAAACAGGATATGAAAGGAACCCCTAATCTCTTGGGCCCCAAACCACGGTTTGAGAATAGCTTTACTCAGAGGCCCAACAGAGTAGGATATCTTTCATATCCTCTTCACCTGGAGACGGAGTAGAACCAATTTACACAGTGTACTGATTTGAATAAGTCCTGATGAGGTCACTGGATTTTTTTTTTCAATTGACCTAATCCTTCCAGCTGCACTATGGTCCTGGGGTCAACTCAGCCTCTAACAGAAATGAGTACCAGGAATTAATTAAATAATTTTCCTGGGGAGTAAAGCGTGGCCAGCGCATAAGGCTGATGACCTTACTGCCATCTGTGAGCCGACTGTCTAGATAATGTGGGACCCTCAACATCTCACAACCCTATGGTCCTTCACGTCCTGTTAAAAGGATAGCTTTACTTTTTCCTTTTTTACTGATTTGAATAATGATGGATGAAGTCCAAAATCATAGCTTTAAATAGTGTGTCACACCATCATCAAAGCTTAACTTGATTTAGGTTGCTTTTAATTGTTTTAAAGTAATATTATTGTATATTGTACTATTACGTCAGAGTCAACAGGATAAAGTTAATGCTATAGAAATACTATTGTTGTAGGGTTCACTTGGATTTGAACATCATGTAAATGCTTTAATGGACTGTGCCAGCTACATAAAAACTGCCCTGCAACAGCGTCCACATTTCAAACTTGTTCTTGAACCAGAGTTTATTAATGTCTGCTTCTGGTATGTCCCACCGAGTTTGCAAGGGCTACAAGAGCAACCTGACTTCAATGAAAAACTGCACAAGGTACATAAAGATCATGTTTACCTTCCACTACTGCTGTTATACTCTTATGTGGCTGGGGGAAATGACAAAATACATGTGTAAGGAAAGCTGAATGGGTAATGAACCTTACACATTGAACACTGTACCTAATTGGGTTTGAGGTTCTCACAGAGGTTCTGCCTGCTTCTTTCTGGCTGATTGCTTGACTTAGTCTTCAAACTTGTAAGGTAGAGATGGTATGTTTCCCAAGAACATCAGCAAACTTCTATCAGACTACATGATATCACATTCCAGAAGATAGTATTATTTCCTGTACCTTATTGTCTGTTATGGATCAGAAGACAACAAGACAATTGAGCTCAGGTTCACAGTTTATGGCTACATCTGAAGTTTGAGTCTTAAACTATAAAAATGTGGAAATGAATATCCCTAAGTCATTGCAGCTTTTAAGAGATGTACAAGAATGAACAAAGTAATTTATTTCTTGACACATGCACATGTGCACAGGTACACATACACTCACACACAGATAAGCCAGCTGCCATCCTTTGGGTGGAAGACAACTGTGTGTGTAGGTGTGGAGGGGGGGGTCCTCTGGGGCTTTGGCATCTCTCAAGGAGGCTGCACAGTGCTGTGTCCCAGGGGTTGAAATGACGATTTTACCCTTCGTACATACTGGCTTTTAGTTTCAGTTTTAAACAGGCACAATTAGCCTTAGAAGATGACGCACCTCTGAGCACACATGTATATATGCACTGACATACACTTACACTTACTGATCTTAAATGTAAACAGTTAACACAAAAGGAATTAATAACTTTTTAAATTACTTGTTATGGAACTATTATTGTTATTTTTATATCTGTATTTCATAGAGGGTTTGGGGGAAGAAAGAGACCTGGAATAGTACAAGAATTTTACTAGTTTTGTCAACTGATAAAATAATGAATATCACTATTTGATGGAATGTACTGCATATGATAACTTACAGGTGGCACCTCATATGAAGGAACTAATGATGCGTAAAGGTACCATGATGATAAGTTACCAACCACTGCAAAACCTTCCAAACTTCTTCCGATTTGTTGTGCAGAATTCAGGAGTCACACATCAGGATGTTGACTATTTCCTGGATGAACTGGATCATCTTGGTGCTGATCTGTAGTCATAACTTGATACATGCGATCTGAGGTTCTCATGGCAATGACTGTGAACACTACTGTCTTCTGGGATGTGACACCATGTAGTTTTGTAGTAGTTTACCAACGTTTCAGAGGAATGCAAGGTGTCTGTCTTCAGGATCAGAGAGCAAGCATAATCTTCACTCCTCATGATGGAAGCAATACATTTCTCTGCAATGTTGTTCGACTTCTACAAGAAAACACAATGTCATATCCCAGAACACTGTAATCTTCACAACTGAATGCTTCATGGCCTTGCACCCCAACCACCAAGCATGGGGCATATAAGTTGTCCCAATAAATATTAAAAGGTCTTACACTGAGTGTGCAGTGTTTGTTTACAAGGAACAAACTTGTTTTGTAAGCTTTCACAGCTAAAATCTGGAATATGACGGTTGATAGAAAGACTTATGAAAGATAGAAATGATTATAATCTCTAAAATAACTGGACTCTGTCATGATGGTCCATATAATTATAATATTAAATCAACAAATTGCCAGGCTGCAAATTTCAACTGGAATTATATTTTAATATAAAAAATAATATCTTCTTCTTCTACTAGATATTTCCACCATGTAATCTTGCCAAAAATAGTATAGTTATCCTAAATGAAAGGAAGTTGTAACATTCATATAAAACACATGGGAATAAAATTAACTGTAATAGATAGTGAATTTAGATTTCAGTGAGTTTTTATATATATTTTCCTATTTTCTATTAATAGTAACCTGAATTCCATTGCTTAGTAGCATATTATTAATGGGTGAATTAGAAAGAGTTGATTAATTTATGATATTAGAATATTCAGAAATTCACATTTTGGTAAGATAATTATGGACAGTAATGTAACAATTCAGTAACACAGTTTCTAGCTGTGTTCCACCTGATGATGACCTGTGAGATCCAAACATGAATTGATTTTCAATAAAAATATTAGTCATGTCTGACTTATCAGTGGTTATTGAAGTAAATTTAATGTTTATGAATTTTTGTAATTATGAAGGATGTTGGTGAACTTATAATATACTAACAAACTTTCTAGTTTCTCAGCATCTCCAGATTTAGTTATAATATATACCTGATGGTCAACAGCTGTAACTGTTCCCATCTGCTTTCACCCTGGATTCTTGCTGGCTTATACTTTGACCTTGAAGATGGAGGCTTATGTTCCCCAAAAACCTCGGTTGACTTTCAACAGACAACACAGCATTATATCCCAGAAGACAGAATTCTACATAACCACTGCTCTGAAAACCTCAAATCCCACATTTGTTCTCAGTATTTTACTTACTTACTTACTCATGGAGCTGAGCCCTTCTGGGGGAGCCGCCAATTCTGCAGCTACTCAAGAATTTCCCAGAATTTTATGGAACCCGAAGGTTCATCACCATGTTCACAAGAGCCCTCCACTGGTCCCTATCCTGAGCCAGATCTGTCCAATCCATACCATCCCATCCTATCTCTCTAAGATCTATTCTAATATTGTCCACCCACCTACGCCTTGGTCTTCCCTGTGGCCTCTTTCCTTCTGGCTTTCCCACCAATATCCTATACGCATTCCTCGGCTCCCCCATTTGTGCTACATGCCCTCTTCACCTCATCCTCCTTGACTTGATCATTCTAATTATACTTGGAGAAGATTACAAGTTATGAAGCTCCTCATTATGCAGTTTTCTCCACCCTTCTGTCACTTCATCTCTATTTGGTCCAAATATTCTCCTCAACACCCTGTTCTCAAACACCCTCAGTCTGTGTTCCTCCCTTAATGTCAGAGACCAAGTTTCACACCCATACAGAACCACAGGCAAAATTATAGTTTTGTATATTCTAATTTTTATGTTTTTGGACAACAGACGAGAAGACAAAAGATTCTGGACTGAATGGTAGCAAGCATTACCCGAGTTCAATCACCTCTTAATTTCCTCCTGAATCAGGTTTCGATCTGTTATCGTTGTTCCCAAATATCTCAGTATTTTAGGTCGTGATATTCTTAAAAATCTTTTAATATCCGTTGCCTCAGATACCTTTCCTGTTAAGAAATATATATTTTGTAGCCACATTATTATGTGTTCTTTTGCTTGTCAATGAAATAGACATTCTATAAAAATTCTGTTTTATACATGAATTTTATTTTCATTTATCAAGTAGTAGATACGTTGTGCATGGAATGGCATGCACATAAATGTTGTTCATACTCTCATATTATTTTTTGAGATGTCTAAACCAGTTGTTCCCAAACTTTTTTGGACCACTGTCCCCTTGTTTTCCATAAACCCATTCCCAGTGCCCCCTTCCTTGCCCTATAAGGAGCATTCTTCAGAAGAGCAGTTTGCACAACCCACAAAAGAAGATAATAACAATAAAATAAGATACCTCATTTATTATTATTATTATTATTATTATTATTATTGGAGGGGGTGGGTTTCCCCANGGAAACTTGCCTAATTTTGCTCAGAGGTCTCCTAGAGACATGAGGATCTTTTACATGCCGTAAATCTATGACACGGGACCCACGGCTTAAAGTCCCTCCCAGAGGACTTGTTCCCTGAATTTTTCTGCCCTTAAAAATTCCACGACCTCCGCCGGGTTTGAACCCACGTACCTTGAGTCATGAGGTGGGAACGTTACCCCTAGACTACGGAGGCTGCTAGATAACTCATTTAGTAACTACTTCACTGTTAGCAAATATTTGATGCAATGGATGGGCTTGGTGAAGTAATACCAGTTTCCCAATGTCTGGTCTAAAGTTACTTCAATCATAAATCAGTGAACAACACGCTTGGGGGGGCACGTCCAATATGCCCCTAGATAATCCCACTGCCCCCCAGGGAAACCACTGATCTGACCCATCATTTCAGAACCTATAGGTCTTAGGGTGGTTCACAGGACTCTCATTCACAGTCTGGCCCCTGGTTAGATCCATGTGCCCACATCTCTATCACAGATAAAACCTGGGAGTATGAAGAATGACCCCCTCAACTGTGCATCAGAGCCTGTGTCATTCTATAAGCCCCTCTGCTGTCAACCATCATCCTCATGATCACCCTGTCATTGGGGATAACAGACTCTGCCCTATCTGTGCCCCCCCCACCTGGAAATGGATTCTACACCCCAGACCAGCTATGCAGAAGCCATAAAGGCCAACATAGACCTCATTTACAGAAAGTAAAACAAAAATATAATCCATCATTTCACAAATGCTTTCATGGTCAATACTAGAGCTTAATGTCAGGAAATTTAGTGATCTAGTATAAAGTATGTTTTTAGACATTGTGACAAGTGTTGTTAAATATTTTGAAACTGAACATATGATTTATGATTGCTTTATATCTAACTCAAATGTTGCTCTTTCCTTTCACAAAGTCAGTACTTCTGTTTTGAATAAGATATCCAAGATGCATGAGTATTAAGGCTGTGGTCTTGTTGGGTGAGATCCCATGTAATGTGAAAGATAACTTCATTAAGTTATACTAAAATATTTCCACACATCTGCCACAGAATACAGTGCCACTAGCCTGAGGACCATGCACCCCATGGCAATAACTACTGGGACACTGTAAGTAAAATACCTAAATTTCTAACTGTTGAACTCTGCAATTGTCAACTCTCCTATAATCTATGACAAAGAAAGGGTCATGGTAAAATTGTTCCCGTGCTTAATTAATTACACACCATGCCATGAAGACATATAGGGCGGTGAGGTAAAGATTCACCTTTCATAACCTCAGCATTCAGTGGAGGAGAGTGGTCTGTTTCACGCCCCTGCCAATTTATCCCAGGAGAATGCCCAGTATCCATTGGACTGGATGCCCCAGAGCCAGTCTGAACTCTGTGGAAAAAAAAGAAAATCTCTTGCCCTGCCAGACACTGACCCCTAATTCTTCAGCCATTCAGACTATAGCCCATCACTATACTGACTGAGCTATCCCAGCTCCACATAATTTGTGTATTAAATTTAATATCAAAAATTAAAATTCTTTTTTAAAAATGGATTCTTCAAATGAAATGAATTGTAAATTTCCTTTTAAAATGGTACACACCCTGATGATCGTATTTTTGGTGGAAACATGTTGGGTTTTTAACAATATGGTAGTCAACATAAGGAAATGAACTAGATGCACTTAGATGGTAACTTATGTTTTATTGTAACCATAATTATCTATTTTCTTAACCTTCTATTGAACAAGTTGCTTGATAAGGCATGAACAATGCTTGCCATAATTATGTGCAGAACAGATGTATTCTTTCTAAGAACTGGAAGAGGGTTTACAATCCTGTCATGAAGATTTGTACTCTTGCTTCAGCTGTCGCCAATGCCAAAGTTTGAAGCCATCTTTCCTGCTTGTTCCATGCCTTTTGCTGCAATGTCTTCAAAGTTTTCAAATTTTCCATCACTGATCTGAAAAAAAGAAGTTCAGTAAGTCTTGATAATATTTTGTTTGAGCCAAATCAACACTGTGCAAGTTGCTTACATTTGGACACTTCAAACATGTATTTTATGTAGGATTTGAGTTTCTCACAGCCATGATTATGAAGAGTACTGCCTTCTGGGATATAAACGTAAAAAATGCATTACTTTGAAAAAGAGAAGCTCTGCTTCTGCTAAGGTGGGACTACAGTTCTTTGACAAAATGGTCGAAGGAACACAGGATGAGTCAAGTTAAGAATCAAAGCTCTAAGGCACTGATCACCTCTGATGGCATGAATCCTTCAACTGTCTCTCCAGCTGTCGCTGCAGCATCAAGCATGGGCTGGGGAATATGTTCCAGCACTTTGACTGCTGCTTCTTCAGGAGTAGGCAATTGTGGCAGTTTAAACTGTTGAGAAAATTTTAATTGGTAAAAGTTCCTGGAAACATTTTCAGTAATATGAAGACTTCTATCTTTTGGGATAGAACACCATGTAATCCTCTGAAAGTCAACTGATGTTCCTCTGAAATGTCGGCTGACTTTCAGCGGAATACATGGAATGATATCCCAGATGATAGAACTCTTCCTAACTACCGCTGTGAGAATCTCAAATCCTACATGGTACCAGTAATATCTTCTATACCGAACATCCTGGTCAAGTTGTTACCAGTCCTGCGACACAATTGGGAGTTCTAGGGGTGAAATCTCAACCTAATAAAACATGAAAATAAATAAAGCGCCTTTATCCTTAAGTCTTGTATAGATATGTGTGTATACGGTCCACAGAATTGTTCATTATCCTAGGCTTCATTCTAAGAGGCAAATGCTTGAAAATTATCTATATTAATATTCGAATAGAGAGGGTGAAAAGAACTGCAAAAGTGTCAAAATATTCAGAACTATATACTTTCTAATGATTTAGGAATTTATAACTGGATAATTCGCATACATGACAAAAGCAGTTGGAAGGAAATTGTTGAGCAGGCCAGAGCGTTCAAGAAATGAAGCTGTCGAGCCTCATGAAGAAGATGAAGTCCTTCTAATGACGAACTGGAGTGATATACATGTACATTATTTAACTCAGTTATCATGGATGGTTGTATTCTGTTGTGCTCATATCATACTGTAGTTTGTAGAACCGTTGCTATGCAACAACCACGAAATGGGTGGATATACCAGGGCCATTTGTGGACAATGGCGAAACAATTGGAACCATTACCAGGAAACGTCAACAGACTCAACACTAGACTGTGTGCTCTAGTGAACTGTAAATAGTGGGAACAGCGATAGTGTTATAGTTATTTGTGGTTACAATCTGTAAGTGGTCAGTAAATCTATTCACCAATCTAAACTCCATCTACAGTCACATATACTATGTGATAATATGATTTTTCTCTCCGGCAAATGGAGATGGTCACCCATGCAATCATCATATTAACTGGTCTAAGTAATGCAGATCCTTTGCCAGGGGTAATGACTATTGCAGTTAGGGTAAGGACGGTATTGTTGTTGCCATGAACGAAATCCAGTAGGGTAAACAATCCTTATTTCATGGTATGACATTCTAAATCCTCTATGACATTAGGCAAGTGTTCAACAGTTAGCTCTAAGTCTAATAGTCCTCCAAATATCTCTCCCTAATGGATATAACAAAACAAGGTGCCTCAACAAAACTAATATTTTTACCACACGTTAAATTTTTGTTGCAGAAAAATGTAATACACAAACTACTTAACATGTATCAAGGTCCATGGCAAAAGTATAATATTTAAAAAGCCTTCACATATTTCGGCCACTACTGGCCATCATTAGAAAGCAAAACCAACATTACAAAGGAAACACATTACATGTATGATAAACATAGGTTGCTTAAAAGAGATTTCTACCACTAGAAATCAAGATAGATTAAAAGACCAATATAATTAAAGTAAGTTAAGTCATAAGTTATAAAAAACACCTGTTTAACATTCATGTAAAATGTCTCCTTGACAATGTTGGCTTTGCCTTTTGATGAAGACCAATGGCAGCCTTAACATGTGAAGGCTTTTTAAAAATTAATTTTTGCACTTGCTTCACCCAGATACATATTAGTTCTTTTGAAAGTGTGACAGCTTATCATGTCTATTATAAAAATTAAACACAAATATCAGTACTCGCTCTGCACTTGGGATATGGTTGCTTTTCTTTCAAGCTCACAATATTCTTCTACTTTACTGGTATGATTAGGAATTAACATGTTCCAGCCTCATTTATGACTCTCTCCACCACCTTCTATGTCTTGTAAAGTTTGGTTGGATTTAAGATTCACATGGTGGTGACTTCAAAGAGTTATATATTCTGGGAGACAACGCCATGAAATCCTGTGACAGTCAACCGATGTTTCAAAGGAAGTCACTGTCTCCAGTTCTGCTTGCTGCCTGCTTCATACTGGTTTCTTGATTGGTTTACTGCTTGAAGATGGAAGTGGTAAGTTGCTCTGGAATGTCAGATGGCTTTAACAAGGCGACACAGCGTCATATCTCAGAATATATAATCCTTCCCACATCTCTTCTGCAGTTTACTTTGTAAGTCACAGTTAAGTGTCAGATTTAATTAAAAACGATTTAATTACAATGTTCTTCTTCAATTTATGATAGCATATATCAAAACAAAAATTTCAGATGTTTTAAAGTGTGCAGTGCAGAGCGAGATGTTTCCACCAGACAATAAGCTGAATATAAAGTTGTCTTTATGCTTTATTTATTAAGTACGGTGCCATGAAGACATATGAGGAAATGGAGGTATAGCTGCGCCATTCCTCACCTTGGCACTAACTTGGAGATAAGTGGTCAACTTCACGCAGCTACCGCTTTACTCCAGTGAAACAGCCCGAAACCCACTTAACAAAAGGCTGTGTTGGCCCTAGAACCGGTCTGGAGAAGAGAAAAATATTGCCTCTACCCAGAGTTGAACACTAGCCCTCCAGCCTCTAGCCTATCACTAAACTGACTCAGCTATCCCAGCTTCTTCATCAGTGAATTACAGATATAATTGTGTCATACTGTAAAGTCATTAGGGCACAGCTGGAATTTGGGGTAGATGCCATCTACCTAGTTTCACGTTTCATTTTTATGAAGCTATTTCCAACACATTAATATATCATAAGAGTCGTTCCCAGCAACGATATNAATAAGCTGAATATAAAGTTGTCTTTATGCTTTATTTATTAAGTACCATGCCATGAAGACATATGGGGAAATGGGGGTATAGCTGCGCCATTCCTCACCTTGGCACTAACTTGGAGATGAGTGGTCAACTTCACGCAGCTACCGCTTTACCCCAGGGAAACAGCCTGAAACCCACTGCACAAAAGGCTGGGTTGGCCCTAGAACCGGTCTGGAGAAGAGAAAAATCTTGCCTCTACCCAGAGTTGAACACTAGCCCTCCAGCCTCTAGCCTATCCCTAAACTGACTCAGCTATCCCAGCTTCTTCATCAGTGAATTACAGATATAATTGTGTCATACTGTAAAGTCATTAGGGCACAGCTGGAATTTGGGGTAGATGCCATCTACCTAGTTTCACGTTTCATTTTTATGAAGCTATTTCCAACACATTAATATATCATAAGAGTCGTTCCCAGCAACGATATACATAGCAAAAATTCACGAGTTTATACTGTAATAACTTCCATTTAACATGTTTTCTCGTTTCTATTGATTTGGACAATCTAGCTAGAGCTGATCTGGAGTATCTGCCTAGTTCTTCTCTGGAGAACCTACCTAATTCTACTCTGGAAGGCCTGGATATGGGATAAACCTACCTATTTTTGTGACACATCTTATCTCACAGGAGAGAATTAAAAATAACACCAGGATCCAAAATAAAATAAATGAACACAGCCAAATTGGATAAACTATTTGGATAGAATGACAAAGTAATGCAGATCATACAGTAAGAAGCAAAAAGGCTTTGAGACTGAGATGGGAATGTTAGGTTGGAACAGGCTTGACTGCCTATGCCATTAAGTGAAGAAAAGAAGAAAGGGTCCACACTTCTTGTAATCACGTTAGGTATGAGATTCCCATGCCACTACTTCTCTTACGGATTAACTGTTAAGCCAATTAATGAGAAATATTTCATATGATTTATTTGTTTATTTAACAGCGCTGTCAGTAGCTCAGCATATATAGCGTCCAATTGATAGGCTGATCAACAAATGATGAACCAGAATAGGGGTCAGAGAAAGTCAATGTGGCCCAATTTTCAGTATTATCAAAATATCTATCTAAAGAGACTGAGGAAAACCATGAAAAATCTTAGTATCCTGGCTGAGATTGAACAAGCCAGAAATGTTACCATTTGAGTCATTGCTCAATGTAAGCAATAACTAATTAACTATCTAACTAACTTTATGGGTAGATTCTAAAGGGTTCTGACGATGGTGGATGACACACAGAATTACTGGGGGTTTGGACTTTTTGCATCATCCAGAATTTTAGGTAATAGAGGACACAACGTTTCAGAAACTCGATCTGTTTCCGTCTTCAGGTGAGAAAGGAAGACACCTACTCAATTGGGCCCCTTAGAAAGAGCTAATCTCAATCACTGGACCAGTTTCAGAAACTTCATCTGTTTCCATCTTCAGGTGAGAAAGGTGAGTAGGTGTCTTCCTTTCTCACCTGAAGACGGTAACAGATCCAGTTTCTGAACGTTATGTCCTCTATTACCAAAATTCTGGACGATGGAAAAAGTCCAAACCCCCAGTAATTCTGTGTAACTTTATGGGGCTGAGGCCTTCTTGAGAAGCCGCCAGTTGTGCAGCTACTGAAGAACTTTTCAGCATTCTATGGAACCCGAGGGCTCATTACCATGTTCATAAAAGCCAACCTACTTGTCCCTATCATGAACCAGATCAATCCAATCCATACCACCTAATCCTGTCACTCCAAGATCCATTTTGATGCTCTCCTCCCACTTACGTCTTGGCCTTCCTAGTGGTCTCTTTCCTTCTGAATCCCACCAAAATCTTACATGTATTCCCCTTCTTCTCATGCGTGCTACATGCCTTGCCAACAGCATCCTCCTTGATTTGATCATTCTAATTATGCTTGGCGAAGAGTAGAAGTTATGAAGCCCCTCATTATGCAGTTTTCTCCAAACTCTCATCACCTCATCCCTCTTTAGTCCAAATATTCTCCTCAGCTTCTGTCTATGTTCCTCCCTTAATGTCAGAGACAAAGTTAGACTCCCTTACAATACTATATGATGTAAACAATATGTAAATAAAAGTAAAAAATACACCACTAATAAATACAATTTAAACATGGGATTTATCGTTCTTTGAAAGATGTACTTGATTCTAGGGCAAATTAGGATGTCATACTATGAAATAAGATATGTCACAAAATTGAATATGTTTACGCTCTAAGTTATTAGATTTACATTTAACTGCTAATGCAAAATGTTAGTGCAAAAGCGATGTAAAGACAAATGAGCTGTGAAGACCTGAATTCGCCAATTTCATATGGAATTGTATGTAGTTACAGCTGAACTGACACTAACTGCAATGCTATTAGAATGAATATTTCGAACTGGTGTGTAACCACTCATTAACAACATAGCCTACTTTTTAAACTATTCATAAACTATTCATTTTGGATTTTCATGGTGGAAATTGTTCAAACTGTGGTCGTCTGGGTTGTGACACCAAAGCCAAGATAACTCGGTTGGTATAGTGACTGGCTACGAGCTGAACGGCCGGGTTCGATCCCCTACAGGGACAAATGATTTTTGTCTTCTCCTCAGTGTCTAGACCGAGTCTCGGGGGCCGCCCAGCCTCCTATCCAAATGGTACTGGAGGTGTTTCCCTGAGGGTAAAGTGACCGTGGCATGAGCTGACAATTCACCTCCATCTAGTGCCAAAGTCAAGAAGGGTGGAACTACACCTCCACTCCCCCATGCGTCTTCATAGCATGGTGCTCAGTGAATTAAGCACAGGAATGACTTTACATTCCCAGTTAGCTTTACCGGGGTTGTGACACCGTCTAGTCTTGAAGGGGGAAGAATATGCTGCTACCACATTCAGGGTTGAACTGTGTAGGGTGAGGAATCGTTGGGGTTATAGGAGCAGGTTTAGGGTAAAGTAGGCATAAAAAGGGCTCTTTTCCTGCCTGCTGTTCCTATTGGTCCAAATGGGGATACATTTCCTCACCTCAGCCCGTGGGTTTCGGTTACAACATTCCCAGTAACATGTATATATAATTCAACCTATTCCTTACTTTACACACTTATACCCTGAAGACGGAGGCAGTATGCTCCTCCGAAACATTGATAAACTTCTACAATACTATATGACATCGCATGCCGGAAGAACATGATTTGTTCAAAATCATATTACCTATCTTCCTGCTTTATGACCTGAATATGAACCAACATAGCTCACTCAGTGTAGGGACTAAGCTATGCGCTGAGCGACCGAAAAATTGGGCTTGATATATATCTCGGCTGGGGCAAGAGAATTCTCTCCTCCACAGCGTTGAGACCGACTTGTGGCCTGAGTACCCTGATTCAAAGACGAGGGGTTAAAGCAGTAGAGGTGTGAAGCTATACCTCCATTCCCCCATACATCTTCAGAAGCAGTGCTTTATTTAAGCACGGGGAGTTGATGTAGGTAAAATAGGCACTGTATAAGGAAATCCTTTTGCCACAGAATGTATTTTATTTATTATACGTGAAATCTAAGAGTCCAAATTGTTTAGCAGTGCAAAGTCACTGATGTCAGTATGAGCCAATGAGACGTGTACAACCTCAAATCACTTATCTCGAGAGGCATCTGTGAGTGTATTCTAAGCATTGAAACCTGCGTAGAACATTACAGTGACAGTTTAATCGTTTCAAATATTACTGTAATTAACATTTATAATACCAGAAACTGCGTACTACATATGTAATCAAATACCAGCCTCTGTACATTCTTAAAATTTAACAGATGTTACAAATTGTTTCTACCGCAATTAAAGATATAATCATTTCCAAATAAAATTGAAGACAGGGTCTAATTTTACAATTTGTAATGTGACTGTATATGGAGGAATGTCTGTATAACAGTCAAGTAGGAGAGAAAATGGAAGGCGTGTCTACATCTGTAAGATCAGCGCTGATATGTGTGCATATTCGTACATTAACGGCGACCTCGTTTAGGCACCGATGACCGGAAGGTCTCAGCAGCGCCCTGCCCTGCTTCCCTCCCTTCCTTTACCTTGTCAGCTCCAGGAAAGGAGTCAGTCGATCCATCAAAGCCAGGTGGAGATGGTGGACTGGGAAGCTGTCTTGTAGCCTGCAGCAACATACAAACATTTGAAGAATAAGATAACGTGATACAAGTTTCCTACGTTATAAAATGAGATATATTCCAGGACTATGGAAAGAAATATGTACAAAGCTATGAAGATATTTAAACTAAAATGATAGTTTGAATAATTATGTCGTTAATTGTATTAACACAATGCTGAATCTGAAATTAAAAGAATTATTCTTGAAAACCTTCACCTCTGAGTGGGGAACACAGACTGAGGGTGTTTGAGAACAGGGTGTTGAGGAGAATATTTGGACCGAAGAGAGATAAAGTGACAGGAGGCTGGAGAAAACTACATAATGAAGAGCTTCATAACTTGTACTCTTCTCCAAGTATAATTAGAATGATCAAGTCAACGTGGATGAGATGGGCAGGACATGTAGCACGAATAGTGGAGAAGAGGAATTCATGTAGGATATTGTTTGGAAAGCCAGAAGGAAAGAGACCACCGGAAAGAGCAAGACGTAGGTGGGTGGACAATATTAAAATGGATCTTGGAGAGATAGAATGGGATGATGTGGACTGGATTGATCTGGTTCAGGATAGGGACAAGTGGAGGACTTTTGTGAAGACGGTAATGGATCTTCGGGTTCCATAAAATGCTGGGAAGTTGTTGAATAGCTGCACAGTTGGCGGCTTCCGAAGAAGGGCTCAGCTCCATGAGTGAATGAATCTTAAACACTATAGCTGGAATTTGGAAATATTAAATTTTCCGTTTCAATTTTCAATTGGCTTTTATGTTAATCAACAATAAAACATAAACGTAATATTTTTATGTTTTTTTAGGTAACCCTCGTGTAATTCCGTCACTGAAAGCCGATCTATGCTGTACTTAGACATTACAAAATATTACTGGTAAATACATGGAGCCATACTTACACGCAAATACTTAATCTACAGTTCTACTTTCTTTAACACGAACTTGATAAGAGGGCTTGAGATCATTTACCCTGTGATGTGAGGATGAGTCCGAAGGTGCAGCTGTCACCTGTAACAAAATAGAAAACCGCAAATAAATATGGCCGCTGTTTAATTTCAGTAGTATCATGTAAATGTTTCTGTAGTGACTTCTTTGTCACTTACATTACAACCTCTTGACTCCATCATAATGTCAAACAAAACGATGGACACATCTGTTTTATAGAGGCCATATTCAGTAAAATGTTTACGGGGTCAGCGCTCAAGTTGAAGATTTTATAGACAATAGGAATTCCCTGCTCCATTTTATGTTACTATTACACGTATGTTCCTAATAACCAGTTTCGGCTGCATCGTCTTCCACAGTTATCCCAATAGAATATCCCCATAAAGAGATAAAGTTGCCCATGTTTTTAATTAATAAGCATCACGTCATGAACACGTATGGGGGAGTGGAGATATAGCGCCACCATTCTTCACCCCTGCACCAGATGAAGTGGTCAGCTTTACACCGTGAGGAAAGAGCCTCCGGGGTCAATTAGATAGAAAACTGGGTGGGCCCCACAGCCGTTGTGGGCGATATGGAGGAGAGGGAAAATTTTTGTCCCTGCCGGGAATCGAACCATGGTCGTCTAGCCCGTCGCTACGCCGACTGAACTATTCGGGCTCCTGACAATCCCTTAAAAGTGATGCCACTGTGTTCCTCGTCTTTAATTTATTCCACAACAATATCTCGGTTTAAATTAGTTTTTACATACTTAGTAGGTGTTACAAGCAGACTTCATACTGCCTATTTGTTCTACTGCATAAATTTCTAATCTTATACATTTATTACTACTGTTATTGTTACACTGTGAATAACTTATTATCTAAGTATGGATTCCAATTTAAATTTGTCGAAAGCAGCATCAAATTTAGCATCGTTGCCATATGTGTAATTGCTGACTTGCAAATAGCACTTCATACGTTATGTGTCGGCATGTTTATGATTTATCTCATTACTAAACTTCAATCCAGACTTGGAAAAGAAAGTGAAGGAAACGATTTTCACTGACGTCATGTTATATATTTACACTTAGGCAGCGTCTACACGAGCGCACAAAATGCGTCCGTTGTAATGAACGTACTTTGCTGAGGACACCACACTGTTGCAGAATGCGGTGCGCAGTTTTTTGTCTGCAATGGAGCCAGAAGAAAGCTAGCATTTGCCTCTCTTATTTATTTCTACAACGGACGCATTTTGTGCGCTCGTGTAGACGCTGCCTTAACCTTCATAAAAATTGTGTCGTATTCGGAAATCTTTTTCCTTACCTACAAGAACCGATTATTTTAAGTAGTGCTTTGGCCTCTCCCATCTAAAAAATTTGCACATCCGCCATTTTGTTATTAACTGACTTTGGAAAATTAAAATGTATGAAGTGGTAGTCTCGTATGTTATAACGTTCTTGAAAATATTTTGTAAAAATTGTGAACCATTTCAAGAGCTAAAATTAGGGATACACGGATGGACACACAAAGAGAAAATGGTGATCTTAGAATCTTGATTTCTTCCTCAAGGAAGTTTATAAATATGTGATTTCATTCTTAGAAATTAACGGAAATCAGTCCTAACTATGTCAAGTCTGCCCTGTACTCAGGTTAATTACATGAAAATGTAGGTAACCTCATACAGTTAAACGATTTTTCGTTAATCAGTATTATTTTTTTATATAATGGAGAATGCATGAATATATTCGCAATCCTTCCTTAAGAAGCCAACCATAATTAGGCGACACAGTCCAAATTCATTTCATGCCGATAAGTTTTAATACGTTTTCATTTCAGAATTAAGCCTACGTCAAAATTCGTTCGGGAACTCGGACTCTCGACAGACTGGACGGGGCAGAGGCAGCGTGTCCAGATTTAATTACAATTCAGGGTTTTCTTGAAGGTAACACGCACATCAACATCATCGCGACCGTCCCTTCAGAACAGCGATTTGGATTTATTTCTTCTGACACCAATTTTTTTATTTTTAATATTTTATTTTACGATGTAGAATTTGAGGTTCTCAGAGCTTTGGTTGGGAAGAGATATATCTTTTTGGAATATACGTCATGTAGTCCCATTGAAAGTCAACTGACGTTTCGGAGGAACAGCAGCAAGTAAAACTCTGTTTACCACCTGCTTTCACGCTGGTTTTTTTGCTCGACTTATTCTTCGACCCTGAGGATGGAGGTACTATGTTCCTCCGCAACATCGGTTGACTTTCAACGGTTTCGGAGGAACAGCAGCAAGTAAAACTCTGTTTACCACCTGCTTTAACGCTGGTTTTTTGCTCGACTTATTCTTCGACCCTGAGGACGGAGGTACTATGTTCCTCCGCAACATCGGTTGACTTTCAACGGACTATACAGCGTTATATCCAAGAAAACATAATTCTCTCCATAAAACGTAGACTTATTTTTATTAGTTTTAACTGATTATAAAATCTATTTTACCTAAGGCCATGTGTGAACCTTCTACTTTTTCATACTGCAATAAAAAGCGGTGAAATTTGATTGCTTAATGTATAACGTCAGTTTGTGAGTTTAATTTATAGTCATGACAGATTACAAAGTCTAGTATCATAAGATCATAAATGGGCTTTTTCGTACATCCCTTCATCTCAGAATTACTTGGTTTTTGGACTTCGGCCATCGTCCGGTATTCTAGAGACCGGACGATGGCCGAAGTCCAAGAACCAAGTAATTCTGAGTGTTATACACCATCGTCAGAAGCTTTCAGAATCCCTTCATGTGCTCAACATATTTTGTCTTAATTCGATATTTTGCATTAATGTGCTGTTGAAACATAAATTATGTTTGTTTTCTACTATATTTGTGTTTTACTGACATATGCTTAATAAACTGCGAAAAAAACACCGTTGGGAATTTTGTACCTTATATTATGGAGTTTGCTGTTCCCAGTTTTATTAAAGTGATAAAAGAAAATTATATTTTTAGGAAAAATAGTTTAAAATTAAGAGAAACTTGCCAAGAAGATTGGACATATTACTGATTCCGCTTTTTTAAAAACTTGTCAGCTTTCCATGATGGAAAAGAACATATTTTTGGTATATTTATGTAAACAAAAGTCAGGGCTACATTATTTCTAATTCAGCACAACGGCATTTTACAATGCTGATAAGCTGTTATATGAATTTCCGTGTGCATCGAGAGCAAGACACTGCAACTCACCACAGCAACAACAGCGCTGAATAACAGAAGTACAACAGCAACTTTCATGGTTTCAGCTCTCGCTTGTAGATATCACGTCTCGGCAGACTAAACGCTAACAACGCTTCTAGGTATGTCGGTATTTATATAAATCTGAAAGCAACAGCTGATGGCCATGTATTTTTACATCATACATAGTTTATTATAATTACGATGAATATCTTCACCAGAATTTCACGTAAGATATTATCTCATGCGACTATAACGCAAATAAGAGAATCAGTGACGATAAACATCTCTATTCTAGAAATGTCCTCGACATTGTTCAGTTTTGCGTCGTTCGTTGCGAGACAACATTTTCCATGTACGTCATACAAATAAAAAAAGATACAAATCAAGGCGCTTCCGGTGGGCAGAATATGCCAATGCAACACGTCGGACTTACGTCAAAGTATTATGATCTGAAAAAGTAACAACAGCTTTATAATAATACTCAGTACATCTGGTTCGATAAGAATTGAAATGTTGGGATTTCTAACGTTTGAGGCAATTCCTCACTTTATAACTGGAATGTATGTCTATCAATACCAATTTTAGAGAAATTGGGCTTGAATTAGGGACGCGGCTCCAGTTTAAGTGTGACATAGAACAAAACACATTCCGAAATCTTACACCTGCAAATAAGGGGAACCTATGGGATATGTGGAGATAGTGCAACACTGTCTGGGGACTCAGAGAAGTGCGTTGCCTCGCTTTCAGCCAAAAGTGGAGATAGAACGTTTCAATACTCAGGCTGCGACTTGAGGGCTTTGTGACTGACAAGGCTGTAATCAGCACATACATTTCTGTGATTAACATATGTCGCAGGTTCAAGCTACCCCTGAGATCCAAGGTGTTGCCATTCGCTCGCCAAATACAAACAAGTTGCTACTGAGAAGCAGATGTTTCCGAATTTATGTGGCCTCGTGAAGGCTTCTCCAAGACTGAGTGCAAACTCTAACTCCATGACATCGAGTCCTTGACAAGCCGTCAGTCGCTCAGCCACTCAAGAAATTCCCAACATTTTATGGAACCCGAAGGTTCATTACCGTGTTTACGAGGGCTCTCTACTGGTCTCTGTTCTCAGGGAGTTTGAGAACAGGTTGTCGAGGAGAATATTTGGACCGAAGAGAGATGGAAGTGAGAGGAGGTTGAAGAAAACTGCATAATGAGGAGTTTCATAACTTTTACTCTTCGCTAAGTATAATTAGAATGAACAAAGCAAGGAAGATGAAATGGGCAGGACATGTAACACGCATTGGTGACAATATAGATTTTCGATTGGAAAGCCAGGAGGAAAGAGACCACTAGGAAGACCTAGACCCAGGTCGGTGGATAATATTCAAATTGATTATAGAGATATGGACGGGGGGTCATATGCACTGGATTGATCTGTCTCGAGATAGAGACCAGTGGAGGGCTTGTGTGAACACTGACACTTAAAAGAGTTTCATAAAATGTTGGGAAATTCTTGAGTACCTGCGCGAAATACGGCTTCTCAAGAAGGGCTCAGCTCCATGGAGTTAGTCAGACCGTAAAATTTTGTATAGACGTAAATATTCATATGTATTAACGTCTTATTCAGATATAGTTACTGTAATTAAATAGTTATGAATCATTTGGGTAGAATGACAGGAGACTGACTGCCTTCCACAGGTGACATTCACTGCCAACCAAGGTGACGACCGAGACTTACTGAGACCAAAAAGGACGATGAAGAAACCAAAACCATCCTGGGATTCACAGGTAAAAATATTAACGAATTAATATTACAAAGTTCACGATTCTGACGTACAGTCATGAAGGTGGCAAGAATTATAGATTTCTTAACAAACATTTATCAGTTTCGGCTGTATTAAGAAGTTGCTTATTGGCATCATTTGGGGAGAGAGTATCTCGTTTGACAGATGTGAAATATCTCATTAAAGCCAAAATAGTTAATTTATTTCGAAAGCTTCTAAGTCAGTAGTTTTGAGACACTTATTTTCAGAAGCCTGAATTACATTTACATGAATTACATGTTCTTAATTTGTTCTCGACAACATCCTACACTATGTTATAGTCTTAACAAGAAGATACCCTACATAGTTACACAGTCAGTTAGAAATATTCTGTGTGTAATGAAAACATTTACCATGAAGGTTCTAAAATTGTTAAGAATCGATCATTTGCCTTTAGCACGAATCTCTGGCATATCGTTTAGCTCCATAGAATCGCAACATGTCCCCATTTAGCATCATGCTGTCTCAGATATAAACTGTCTGTTCTATTCTCCTCGGCCGCAACAATAGAATGTTTATTGATAAGAACCGCAGACAAGCATTGTGTGACCTTGTCATATTCAGTGTCCGTTGCGTAGTCTCGATTATAAAAAAAATTATGTAACCCTTTCAGACGACGAAAATCTCTCCAACGTAAACAAGTGACATCCTTCTCATAATTATTGTTTTCAAGCACGCAAGTATACGTAATTACCAGAATGGCGAAAATAATTAAAACATTCAAACGGAGAGGGTCCATATATACAAGGGCGAGTTTAGACTCAATGAGACTTCAAGTACAGTAGATATGATGGAAGATTCATTACAGCAACAACGAAACAACGAAATGCAGTCCCTAGGCAGATGAATCCAATGTGCATGATTTCAGCGTACAATCCGAAGGTCTATTTTTGAGAACCGGTCTGTTCTCACTAAGGTTTTCGTGACGTAGGCATTCTTATTCGTGATTACAGAGGCTGTATTTAATACTGTAGAACACAACATTACCAAACACATTCATCAGATTCATCGAGTTTACTTAAAACTAGAGCCATTAAATTGAAATTAGAGGGAGCAACCCATATATAATTTGAACAAAATCTGTCGAAGTGTGTTTGGGATATGTGGAAAATTCCATTTCTGACCTTACGCAAATCAGACATTATTGAGGATCAATATAGGAAAACTGGAACATCCCAGTAACTTCTGGTGAAAGTCCCCCATGCCGAATTTAAAAAAATATCTGTGAAACGATTTCTTTGGGATATATGAAAACGCACATTTATGACATTATGCAAATTATTAGGGACCAGTAAGGGTTACCAGATAAAATTTTGTGGAAGGCTCATATATCGAATTTTAATAAAATCTGTAGGCAGGTTTACGGAGTGAAAGGGAAAGTACATTTATAGCCTCGTGAAATGTAGGCTTTATTACACATCAATGTGGCTAAAAATTGGAATTGCGCAATAACTTTTGATTAAAGTCTTCCACGTTGAATTTGAAGAACATTTGTTCAGCGAAACAGGTGCTGTTGCTAGGTCGCAGATAGACGGACAGACATGGCCTCCAGATAAGAGTTTTCTTTAATTTGTAAGCAACGCCTAAAATTATGCATATGCTTAGGTCTGTATGTTTATCTGACTCTTGCGCAGTGACCTCTACATTTGCAATGAAACGCGTACTCCTTCGGTTCATGATCCTACTAACGTTATAATAAAACAATCAGGATCGAATTTAAGGAGGAGCGACAGGAGCCTCCACAAACATAAATATAATCCTCAAATTGAGACATTTTCTTCACTAAAATCACGAAAAGTTTGTATTAATAATTATTATGAGAAATAAGAACAAAACAAAAAATCATAAACTATACTTATTTTGTACATCATTTTGAATCTGAACTGTAAATTTCGCCCTACACCCCTGAACAATTGTCTCAAATCTTCAGTCTGTTTGTCTATGCAACGCTCCTTGGCTTTAGTCCACAAGCGAACTATACCGACGGAGCGACCGCCTTGTTGTCGGAGAAGTTAGTGCCAACTTTAGCGGATAGAGGGTATTGTGTGGTCGGGGCAATGAATCCCTACGGCCATTAATTTTGGTTCCTAGACTGGAGCCGCTATTTCTTTGAAGTAGATCCTGAATTATCCTCACGAGGCTGAGTGGAACCCTTTCCAGTCCCACTACTTCTCAGAAAATCTGGTAGCGCAGGGAATCGAACACAGGACTCTGGATCTGTAGCTAGGAACTCTGACCACTAAATCACAGAGGCGGTCAATTAATGAATCATCATCATCATCATCATCATCATCATCAGTAATCTGCCAGACGACAGGTCCACAGTCTCTTCCAAAACAATTCCTCCACTTAATGCGATCTAGAGCTTTCTCCTTCAAATGACAGTATCCTCTTCTGTCCCCAAGGTCATCCAGCATCTTCTTACGTCTTCTTCCTCGTCTTCTTGTCGCTTCTATCCGCCCCTCTATCTTTCCTTCAATAACTTCTTTTAGAAGGCAGTTTCTGCATAAAACATGACCAATCCAATTAGCCTTCCGCTGTCTTATTTCGTGTAGGATATTCCTCTGCTCACTGACTCTAATTAACACTTCTTCATTTCTCACACAATCGGTCCAACTGATCTTCTCCATCCTTCTCCAACACCACATTTCGAAACTTTCCAACTAAAAACAACTAAAAAGTAAATAACTGTAAAAAGACAAAATGACTGATGGGGCATGTGGTGTCAAAGGTTGTGAATCACTTCTTTATTTTTTCGCCACTCGTATTTGCGGGTACGAGTAGCATTTTTCTCTTCCTTCTCTAGGATTACTTCATGTTTAACTTCAAGGCCATAGATATTTAACGGCCGTTCTACAATGGCCCAAGAATTTAAGGTGTCTTCTATCGCTCAAATATTTGGATCATGCATTCGAATCCCATTCGAGGCATGGATGAATGTTTGTGGGTTTTTTGCCTTTGCGTTGTCATGTATAAGCAGAGGCCTTATGTCGGGGCTGATCCCACATCCAAGGAATAGTATCAAATGTCTCGAAATAGACATACTGAAATCTGGAAATGAGAGACCTTGGACCACACTGGTCTTTCGAGCCACTCAGAAACATATTTAACCAACTGACAGAGACAAATTTCATAACCGGGCTGTTGTCTGATGGTTTTGTTATGTCTTCCTACTTCCATGTTTAAGGAGACTCATGCAGAAGGAAGACACAATACAGAGCTTACAGGTACCCATAAATGTGCTAAGTGATATCCAGAACTGTATAGAAATTTGTATTATATTTTACAGTGACTGCAACTAAAGTAATGATCG